GTTTGAGCATGTGTGGCCTAAATAAGCTAAACCCCCCTCCCTTACCTTATTTAGGCCACAGTCCACTGTGGCCTAAATAAGCTAAACCCCCCTCCTTTACCTTATTTAGGCCATATGTGGCCTAAATAAGCACTCCCATATATATATTGTTCAACTTTAATCCCTTTTCAAACATTATATTTTCTTTTAAGTCAATATCAAAGCAAATTTATATTTATATTAAAAAATACAAGTTCAATTATGATGTGGTAGAGAAATTGCTTTTTTTTGTTTTAGTTTTAGTAAGAGTTTTATGGCCCTAGCAACATAATAAGGTCATACAGTGGGACTCGGATTCAACGAGGTCGCCGGGCCTGGCCTAAAATCTCGTTGAATCCGAGTGTTCGTTATAGCAAACACGAGGTTTTGTATAGATAATTACAGGCATTGAGCAAGTAATGAATAAAGAGAAGTCACAAATAGTGCCTGAAATGCCTGCATATTTTGAGCTGAGTAAAAAAAAGACCGATTCGTTCAAATGCACACGCCTGTGTCATCTCGATTGTTTACCAAAAAGTTGTGTTGCTGTTAAGAGCCTCGCATACGGCAACTTTTGATTCCATAGACCAGCGCACAATTCATTACGTAGATCCACGTCAAGACTAGCTTATCATTGTAATAATGATCAGTTGCAGAGGGGGAAAAAAGACTGTGACGTGTTTATATCAGCGACGTTTAACGCCCGGATCGCTAGTGCCCCACCCCTTCCCCGACACGCACACACAGTCACACGTGTGCAGACCGCCCATCTGACCCCGACACACGCCAGAGTAGACACACGCGCATGCCAACAATGCATGTGTTGGTATGACAAAAGGCCGCTGATTGGTTGTATGCAATCGGCTAAGTGAATAATGGTTCTCGATGCAGGTGCAGTGGATGGTTTCCGGGAATAGATAAAGTTCGTTCCTGGAGAAAAATGAGAGAAGTCACGTCTGCGGGGGCTGTTCACTCTGAAAGCCACCTCGTTGAATCCGAGCTCGCTGATTTAAGTGCTCGTTGAATCCGGGTTATTTTTTAAATTGATTTTAAAGAAGAAAAAAAACTGGGGAAGCTATCTCATCTCGTTGAATACGAGCTCGTTGAATCCAAGTTCCACTGTATAAGTGCAGAAGGTTAAAGGGTTACAAGAGAGTAAAAAAAAAAAAAAAAAAAAAAGGACAGATTGGGACGATAGATGTTTGATAGGAAAGAAGGAGCAAACCACATCAGAGCACCTACCAACCACCCACTGGGTTTTCACAAATTTTTTTGGTTAAGTGTAGTAAGACAATGCAAAGTTCAAACTAATGACATCACTTTGCATTGACAATCAGTTCAGTATGAAGACATCAATTTTGGATTTACATATATATATATAAGAAACCAAGACAAAACAAGTGCTGCAAAATACCTTTTCAGAGCATGTTCTACAAAATGCCTTCAAGGCCTCCCTGTACAGATCACACACAGAGTTGTACACTGTGAAAAGAAAAAGCAGCAGGCACTGTATTTAAAAAAAAATTATCAGTCTAACCCATTACTACACATATATATCAGTCATATTATATAAAAAGTGGAGAACACTTTGCTCAGTCATAGTAAAGAAGAAGGAAAGAAAGCAGGCAGATGGCAATACACAAAGTTAAATATCCCACATCCAATATAATGAAAATTTGAATCTATATGTTCTGAGAGTTCTTAACCATTTTTTACAGTTGCCATTCTCAGTGGCATGCAGGGAATTTGTCTAAAATGAGTTACCCTTCAACCAACCCATGGCGGATATCAGACAGGTCAAATTAAACATGCAGTACTGTGTAGCATGCAAGTACAAGCAATAATAAAAAAATATCTAGAAATTACAGAGCCTAACTATAGCCAATCAACATTACTATTGTACTCAATGTAGGCATTTTTAAGAATTTGCTTCAAAACACACTTACTTCCATTCAGAAGTGTGATGGGTGTAAAGCCAAAGTGTTGTGTTTCATACTGGTACAAAACACCGTTCTCTGACGTCAAGGGCTCACTTTCACTCTCAGGTTGAGACTCACTCGGGGCTGACTCCTCTGAGCGAACTTCCATCTTCCAGTCTCTTCTGATACTGCAAAAGAATTCATTTCTTTTCATTATAACACACTGGCAACCCACCATATTTGTCTTTAATGTACCCTGGGTTCCTGCTATTTCAAATGAGATCACTGTGACAAAAACTAACTGACATAAAGTCATGAAATTTTCACACTTATTGTGGATATAATAAAGATTGTAAGAAAACAAACAGAATGTGATTTCCTTTCTTTCATCTAATTTTTTAGAAAACAACAAAAATAGGTCAGGAAATTGTGTTGCCGCAAGAACCATGGTTGGACCTCAAATTGGGACCCAGGAAAACAAATCAAATGTGAAATGTATGCAACTCTAAAATGTTTGTTTCCTATTGTTTGTGGCACATACCCATAGAGAACACAAAAAGGACCAGCGATGGTAACAGTCTCTCCATCAGTTTGTTACAGCCAATAACTTTGACTCTCCTTCGTGTGATTAACACAGACGCATTGTTGTACGCACAACGGCACTCACAGTAACACAGCACCAGAAGTGGGTTTCTATGTTTCTACCCTTTTCCTGCTCAGATTTCGGTGCGGAAGTGACTGTAATTTCTAAAAAAAGTAGTACCCACGCCACATGATATATATATGATGCAATAATAGCGTAAAAAAGACCCTCTGAACACAAAAACAGCAGGGGCTGCAGCAAAGGTAGTCAGCGGAAACAGTGTTATGACAGCGTCTATATATATGGCAAGGATAGTGCCAGTGTCAGTGAGTTAAAAAGGCTTCTTGACTTGGCGCATTGATATTGAATGCATGGTAAATTTTTACTTTCACTCCTGCACACCGATGCACTACTTTGGGGGTCAACCTGCAGTACTGTTTGTTGCAGATCACACATGATGTAGTATAGCCGCTAAATCTGTCGCAAATCAATTATTTTCAAGAAAATGTCTTGAACCTAACTCTGTAAAAGATCAAATTATGGGTTAAAACAGGGGCCCTCCCCCTTATTTTATTTTTACTTCAGCGTCCCTGAAACCCCCTGATTGGTCCAAAGTGCACAAATTACTATGCGGTTAGGCGCGATATATATATAGCTCGATTAAAAAGCATCAAATATTTTTAATGAAGTTGATATTCTTCGTGTTCAGCCGATAGTAGAAGACTAGGTAACTGTTAGCTAAGTGTGAGACGGGAGGGGAAGTAAAAGAATTCCGAATGCTTTTCCTTTCACTAAATATTAAAAATGCAAATATATTTATTATAATAAAAAATAAAATTCTGTCAGTCACTGGCCTCCGGATAATTCTAAATATATAGGCGGTAAATTTTTACTTTCACTCCCGCACACAGATGCACTGTTTCAGGGGTCAAACTGCTGTACTGTTTGCTGCAGATCACACATAACAGTGCTAAAACTGTCGCAAATCAATTATTTTCAAGACAATTTCAAATCTAACTGTAAAATATCAAATTATGGGTAAAAACAGGGGGGCATGCCCCCCTGTAACCCCCCAGATTTTCTTTTACCCCAGTGGGGCAAGCCCCCCTGGAACCCCCCGATTGGTCCAAAGCATGTCTATCTCGGTTAAAAACAATCAAATATTTCAAAAACTATTAATTTGCGACGGAAATGAAGTTGATATTCGTGTTCAGCGCATCAATATTTAGTAGAAAATAGGCATCTGGTAGCTGAGTGTGAGACGGGAGGGAAAGTAAAAAAATACCATATATAGGCTATAATGGCAACCTGGTACTGGTAGGCTTAAATTATGATTTAGAATCTAGGCAGGCCTAAGGGGTGTTTATTTTTCTCGAAAACGCTAGGAAACACTAGTATCAGAAGGTAGCCTAGAATCAAAGATTAGGTTCTGCTAGAAGGGAGTGTATAGAGTATACAGACCCGGTAGGCCAAACCAGGAACAAAGTCACAAAGTATACAGACCCGGTAGGGGAACTCAGCTCGGAAAGTTTCAGATCTAGTTTCTTTGTCTCTGTCTTTCTTTCTCCCCACCTATATCCCACTCTATCTTTCTCTCGTTCCCTCCTGCCAACTGGGGCATGTCATATACATTTTGCTAGCACCTCTCTCTCTCTCTCTCACACACACACACAATACCAGGTCAGGGCTCTGAAACTTTCCGAAATCACAAAAGAGTTTGGAAGGGAAAACATACAACATACAAAGTACCAATGAAAGGTAAAAAAAACAATAACAAAGAAAATAAAGCCCATGATCTGAAAGAGCTCTGTCAACACACTTAGTCAACTGTCAACAATACACAAAAAATACGATTAGGCTTAGGGGGTAGCGGAGAAACAAAGGGTTTGACAAAAAAACCCCGCCACACTATAAGTGTTTTTGCGTAAAAGGTGTCGGTTTGAATATTTTCAAATCGTCTCTTGACTTGGACCTTGATGCAAACTTACGATGAAATTGAAACACTGTTGGTCACCAATGTAAATCAAACTGTGCGCCTTTACCAGGTCGGGGTCGGACAAGGCTAGAGAAAACCGCCAAAATAAAATAGGAGCCATATTACAAAAGATTGTCTACGTCTACTACACGATCTTTGATAGCCTATTACTAGCTGCGAAAAATATATTACTATAGGGAGCGGAGAGGTTTCGCTGCGAGAGAGGGCTTCCGTCAGGCGTGCGTTGAAGCCCACAGAGCTGCCCCCATTAGCCTACTGTACCTCTTTGCTTTGTATAGGCCTAACAATAATATGTCTTAGTGAAAAGAATGTTTTTCTTCCCATTTGGCATACTTTGTATAAAACAAGTTTAAACATTAAAATAAAAGAGCTATAGTGTAGGCTATATTCTTCGTACTGTTGGCTATTTGCTCGACATGTATTTTCTTGTGTACTTGTACTTTGAGAACATTCCCTTGAATAGAAATAAGATATGGTCATGATACAACATGACATTTACTTTAAACAAAAAAAGAATTTTCTGGGCTGTTTTTCCTACTGAAATGCTGTTAGACCTGCACATATGTTACATGATATAATTGTCAAAATAAATTAATTAAACCAACTGTGTCTTGACCCCATGACTTCCGGGCCGACGCCCACCTTTAGACTCGCGTTCGTCAGATCGTCTCAGTCTCAGTGTATGTTTGTGTTTGGGCGTTTGTTTAGACGTGTGGAATTCTCAGACGGTTCTCCCACCGATGTAGAAATAGTCCTGTGTTTGCAAATGGTAGAGAAGGAAGTTTTTGTTGGTTCTTTTATCAACTGAGACTTTTTGGTGACAGGTGTCTTGCACTTGCGTTTGGGGTGTTCATTGAAACTGCCACTGCTGCATTGTTATTGTTTTTTATCATTTTTTGGACCGACTTTTTTGACAATCACCACAGGCCTCTAACACCACACACTCCCAGCTTTGGAACAGTAGGCCTACAGAATGTTGCTCGTATTTGAGGACTCGCACAAGGAGCATTTGTCTTTTCTTGTTGGCCTTGAACCAGAAGGTGAGCTTATAGACCAGACTAGGCTATTAAAGTGTATTTATGCGGTGTATGACTATGACGAAATAGGAAAACCCCTGAGCGCTGAAACCCCCCCTCCCCGAAAACCCTCCGAAAACGATGAGCTACAGCAAGCCCCTAGCACGCCTCTGTGATTGTCCCAGATATAATCTATGACGTATTTCCGTCATCTATTTTTGTGGTCTTCTGGGGCTCCCCTCGCCAGTTGACTAGATCTCACCATGGCAAGCCCGTTTTGCCGCTTAGTGCTCGATGGGCTACGTCACTAGGTTTGACTGTCGACTGCTTGGGCTGTGTGTGTGTGTGCGCGCGCACCCAAGTGTGTGTGTGTGTGTGCTCGCGTGCTGTGTGTGCACGCGCTTGAGTGTGTGTGTGTACAACTTTGAGGAGTAGGCAAATTTATTGAACTTGAATTGCTGAGATTGTTTATAAATGATAACACAAATTAATACAACTAAAAAACAAGCACAATGAGATTTAGTCAACGGTGACTGGCGAGGGAAACCCTAGAGTCTTACCCCGGAAGATGACAAAAATAGATGGTGGAAATACGTCATCTATATTAAGGCCAATCACAGAGGTGTGCCAGGTGCTCGCTGTAGCTTCATGTCCCAAAAACTCCCGAAAACCCATGAAATACCAAAACCCCCCATATTATAAAGAACACATCTATCAGGCATTGGCCACTTCATGTTACTTGTCTAAAACAAATGTTCAATAAAAGCTTTGTGTTGAAGAACTCTTTTTAAAAAATTTGTCACAACAAATCAAATGTGTTCATAGCTTTGGCTGTTTTGCTGAAGTAGTTGTGGTCTTGTTGGTACGTTTGTGCTTGACCTGGCAAGGTTTCTTGCCATGGTAGCTGGGCGTCTACGACAGTTTCTGGCCGTCCTGGGAGCGTACAAGGCTAGCTTTTTCCTTGGTGGTCGTCAGGAATGAAGAGAAATGGCGTTCTTTTTTTTTTTTTTCATCTTCAGCCACTTCTCACTGCTCACAGCAAATATATTATGCCGAACTTCTTGCACAGGATGTAATTCCCCAAGCCCACAGGGATCTCTTGACTTCCCGGTATTGTCTGTTGACAAAGTCCCAAAAAGTGCACTCCAAGTCTGGCAATTTCTGCCTCTTCCGATTGATTGCCTGTTTAAATATATGATTGATGATGCTTTCACAGTTATTGTTCGTCTAGCACATCATAGCCTTGCAACCAGCTGGTTAGGGTTCAGTTTTGCACAGTGTCTGAAAATAAGCAATATGAAACATGAACAATCTGAACTAAGAAACAAGATCAACATAAACTACAGTCACACACACAAAGAAGTAAAGTTCCATATTTAAATGTGTTACCCTTTAGAGCTAGACACAATAGCACAAAATAATTGAAACTTAAACAAAAAAAGAAAAAGACAAGAAAACCACCAAAAAACCCAGCAGTGGCTATCCTCGAAAAGCGACCCTCCTACTCCGCCTCTCATGTACGCGACATGCCTCAATGTATTAGATTTAGATCAAGGCATATAGGGGCCATTCAAAATACAAACTTACACCTCAGAGGGGAAAGGGTGTCTTTGGCTTCTGTAAGAAAAGTGTAAGATTGGGTGGGGAGGTTAACCAAATTAAATATGACACTTCTGTGAGATGAACATTTTGCTCATGACTGGGAAGAAGAGGTAAAAGAAAAAGTGGATAAATGCCAGTAACAAGACCCAGGTCTGCATGATCACTGCAGATCCCCGTTGTTGTTTTTTGGGGGGAGGGGGGGTTACAAATAATTTTGAAATTATGATGAAAATTCTTTAGGTGGATATCTAATTTCTTAATGTTTCTTTGTAACTTTGCAACTGTTTTGTTGATCTTTTAGTGTCTTGATGTCTTATTTGTAAGGCACGTACCTATTGCATTGACAAGAGTCTCAATGTCTTCCACATATGTGTTCTTTCTAGTTCATATGGTTTGATTAAATTGTATTAACTGAAATGATATTTTTTTTACAAGCTGGTAAAAAAAAGTCACGTTTATTACAGGTATCTTTAAAATAATAATGGAAGTTGAAGATCGGAAAAAGTACTATATTAAATTAGTGTTGGTGGGGGTTGGAGGCAAATGTGAGAAAAGTGTAAATTTGGGTTTTAAAAAAAGTGCCTAAAAGTGTAAGATTATATTTGAAGAACCCCATAGGTTTTCCATTTCCTCATCATCACCATCATTCTATTCTCTTCTTCATCCTCCTTCTCCCTTCCTCCACCACCACCTCTTCCTTCTTTTCCCCACCATCATCATTCACCCTCTCTTTATCATCACCACCACCATCACCTCCTCGTCATTATCATTACCATCATCATTGCCACTGCCAGCATCATCATCTCATTCACCGACATCACTACATTCCGTCCCAAGGCGTATCGACCTAGCCTCTGCCATTTTGGAACTCAAGTGAACTCAAGTTGGTTGATAAACATGTTCTACGTCATCAGTTTGTGACCGCCGTAAAAATAGCCGTGGAGGCTATCTTTACGGCTCGCTGTAAAAATAGCCAGCCACAGTGAAAAAAACAACAACCAACAACAACTTCACATTTTCACAAAACAATGACATTTAAAAGACAAAAACAAACACTACAAAAGGCAAGAAACAATCCAGAAATTGAGTTTCGGCTCACTTTTACACACACATGTGTCACGACACAGTGGAATCAGGGCTCTTCAGTTTTTAGGCATATTGGTTTAATCTTAAAGCTTGTTTATGGATTGTCCTTCTTTCTGGGAAAAAAATACCCATCTATCTTGAATGGAAGTAGATATTTTCACGATTGCAGGAGGTGGGGGTAACCTGTTTTCTGAGGTAAAATTTTGCGTGAAAATGGCTGCCAAAGTTAGGTAACTATGGCTATAGAGTCTTTGAAAACTGAAAATTTACATATTTTTTTGCCATTAATCAGCGTTTTTCAGTAAATCTCACCTTGAAATATATTTTTATATGCACATAAAAAGTGTTGAGCCAATAAGCAAAAATTCGACAAAAATTGCCAAACTGGAGGAAAAATGCCTGTTTCTTCGATTTCGTTATTTTTTTACTAGCGCCTGATTTCACCTTGCTGCCTCACATATATTTATATCTACATCTATCTATAAATTTTAAAAAATAAACATACCAGTGAATCCAGCTGAGACAGGTGGAGCATTCTTTGGAATTGCTTCCACAGTTTCTGCTACAAATTGCCCAGAGATAAGACATTACTACTCTGAGAAATGATTGAGAAATGCAGCTAGCCCAACTGGGATCTCTTGACTTCTAGCCAGTTATATACTACTAGCTGGGCCCCCTTTCGATGAAAGGAATGATCAGTGCTTTAATATCAACTAAAAGTCATTGGCCTACTATATTTACACTCTACTGGAATGGGGCTATAAATCTTGAGAGATGCAAAAAAATTAGAAGGTCTAGATCTTTACTCTCAAAACAAAATGCGCCTTGCGAAATATCACTTCCGGATTTTCTAAAATTACGGAGACAGAAGCGTCGGCCTACAAAAGTGATCGGCGAAATAAAGAAATTTAGTTTTTTGCAGCTAAACTGTCTCAAAACTGAAAAAACCTAGGGCGTCATGATCTGGAGAATATTTTAAAGTAAATTAAAGAATCTTTTGGCGAAAACCGCATGTCGATCGATGCAGCCATTAAAAGCCTTTTGAATAGCAAAATTCGACCACCACAAATAGATAATAGATACTGTTGCCTCACCACTGAACTTTGAACCTGAATTCACAAGTCAGTAGGCTATGCGTGCACATGTGGTTTGTTTATTAGTATTTTCGAGGGTTTTCGGGAGTTTTGGAAGTTTTAGGGGCTTTTCGGGAGTTTTCAGGGTTTTCGGGGGTTTACGGTAAAATGTGAAACGGTATTTATATATGATATATATTGATAGTAACAATGGCAAACAGTAGAAGTCCAGAATGACTGCTTTTAAGTGAGAATGTTACTCAATGTGTGTGTCAAGCGTTCCAGAAAATTCATGAATACACAGACTTTGGCATCAGTGCACATTTACATAGTAGTCCTCTTAACAGTAACCCAGATAAGAGCAACCTCTGCCTAACAGCAATCTAATCTTGTGTAACAGAGTATTATCCAATATAAATGAGCCCATTTAATAGTTATCAACCTTTTTTCCTCATACCAGCAATCGTCATTGCCATAAAAATTGTCTGATAAATATGTTTATTTGACAATTCAAAAACAGTGTAGGGAACGAGAATGGCAGATAACTTCAGTGCGTCTGCATCTATTTCTCTCATTGAGCTCCTCATAAGACCTACTTGGGGCAAAAATACACGACACTGAGTACAGCGGAGTTTAGTGAACACTCATCATTAATCTTGCTTTCATCTGTGTTATTGCATTGGGAAGGACTTCTGTAACGAGTGACCACCCCAACAAACACAATAAAGAAGAGACCTAACCCTAATCCTGAACCAATAACTGACCCTACTCTACCCTTACCTTTATCCCCGCCCCAAACCCAAACCCTAACTTTAACCCTCTATTCTACTCTACTTCATAGTGGTCGCTCTTTACAGAATTCCTCCTTTGAATTGTCTTAGTGGTAAAAAAGCTAGCAATTTTATTAGGATTTAGGGATCTATTGTGTTATAGACCAGCTTGGAGGGAACTATTCTATTAAATTTCACTCTACAGGGACAATGATATACTAGACAGAAATACTTTTGTATAAATTGTGTATCATTCTGATGTGTTTCTCTTCCTCTTGTCTGGCTGTAATACTGAGTCTCTAATTATCTCTGTGACTGAGACTTGGCATTGCTGTAATGGCTTATGACCATTTGATCTCCACAGTCTTGAGAGAGTTTTGTAAGATATCTATGAACTTCATCCGCAAAGGGACAAATCCCAAAGTATTTCAAGGGGCTGCACGTGAGTATTATTATTTTTTCGGTGAGGTATTTGAAATTAGTATCATAGTGTTTATGCTCACAATCACTTTTGGTGTACTAAGTTATCTTTGCATTCTTCTATTGTCATATATATATTTATGATATTTGTCATTTCATGTTTAAGAAACATAATTTAAGTGTAAGGTTAAGCCAAGATGTGATTTTGAGATACTTGTAACTTTGCTGTAAATCAAACCATCATGACTTTTTCTATTGCCCAAAGTACAGTAACTCAGTTGTTGAATTTAGAACAAGACTGAATAATGCCTTTGTATTATATTTGTATTATTGGAAAGCACATTGAATGCTACTCTCTTAGTACAAATACGCTATGTAACTACATTTATCGATTATAAGCGTATGTATATATGGAGCTGGTGTAAAAGGAATGATGTTATGTTGAGTCATATATTGTCACAATGCGATAGCGTCAGGTGCTCGTCAGTTTTGGTGCATATTTTAAGATTATATTGGTATCATCTTAAAAGTTGTTCATTTGTCTTGCTTTTGATTTTGAGAATTAGGCTGATACCCTCATTTTTGAATAGAAGTTGAGATATTTTGTGGTAGGGGTCACCTGGTATTAGATGTAAGTTTATTAAGAAAATGGCTGCCAAATTTTGGTGAGTTTCAAAGCTTGAGTCCTTGGAAACTGGAAATTTACATTTTTTGTGCCTTTTATCGCAATATTTTTCAGTAAAAGTAAAAGCCACACGGATACCATGTTATTATATTATTGCAAAAGGTGTTGAGCCAAAAAAAGTTAAATAGTAAATGCCCTCTATGGGTGGAAAAATTATGGGTTATATATACAGACTTCAACAAAAGTATAGGACCACTCAGAGTGTTTGTATGTATATATGTAGTTACAAAATAATAATAATAATCATAATAATAAAATAAATGTGAGTGGTGGAATTAGGCTCTCATCAATTTTTGGGCCTGTAGAGATGTTGGTATCATCTTAAAGCTTATTCACTTGTCTTTATTTGGATGAAAAAAATATCCATTTATCTTGGATACAAGTCGAGATATTTGCGAAAGAAGGAAGTGGGGGTCACCTGTTTTCAGAGGTAAAATTAATGAGAAAATGGCCGCCAAAGATTAGTTATTTCCTTAGCTTAAGAGTTCGTGGTAACTGAAAATTTTACATTTTTGTGCCTTTGATCAATGCTTTTCAGAAAAATCCACACAGAAATGAGTTCTTTAATGGGCATGAAAGGTGTTGAGCCAAAAAACAAAAATTTGATAAAAATTCACAAACTTGCGGAAAAATGTTTCTTCACTTTGATTATTTTGACGAGACCCTGATTCCACCACACTGCCTCACAAATAGCATTTGTACATTGCTTGTCCCCACTTGACAGCAAGTTCTACGTGTTTTATAAGCTATAAAAATACCCCAGCAGACCATAGAACACTCAGAAAAAGGTCAGCTTCCCGGGAAGCATTTAGTGCAAGCAGCTGATTAAGCACTCAAACACTAACAAACTGACATGATATTTTACTGTCTATAGCTGGGTAATCATTCCTACCCAGGGTGAAGTGAGGGAAATTCGTGTAAAGTGCCTTTCTTGAGAACACAACTGTTTTTGGTCCTGTTATCGTTCTTAGACATTCATGTTTGTGTATTGTACTATTTTTTACTTCCCAGAGAAACTGGGTGTTTCTGCTGAGTCTGTGCAGCACGGTGTCGAAGGGCTGATGTATTTGCTCACGGAAAGTTCGAAGATGATGGTAAGGTTTTCAGAGACTCAGTTTGTGCGAATTTGTCTTATCTCAATACTAGGGAAACAATCTTGATTGTCAAATTGTGGCGTTATATTGTGATGCGATGTTCAAAAGAAAACTAACCTCTTTTTACGTAAATTGTAATGTACTGCAAAACTGTTCACGTTTATACAATGCAAAGTTTGTATTTATTAAGTATATGTTCTGTATTGGTGTGATATTGTGTATTTATGTATGTATATGTGTATTTTTATGTATGTTGTATTTCTAATTATGTAATTTACGTATCTGACTACTCTGACCCGTCATGTAGACTTGAGAGTGAGTCCTCATAAAATAAAAGCATTGCAAGCATCTGCCTGCCTTGAGGTGATTTCGCTGATATTTGATGATGCCAGATATTTTGTTGGAGGCAGAAGCGGTGGGTGGACCAAAATTTGGGTGGGGCTTAGGTTTCTTCCAGTTTTTTACCAGCAAATAGAAAGCAATAAGAACTAAACAGTGATGATTTTTCTATACTCAAGGTGAGCCACGGCAGTTTGAGAACCATTCAAGCGAGAAGAGTTGCCTTTGTTTTCAATCTCTTTATTCTTAGTTAAATTCTTGTTGGTGGTGGGGACGAAGCCGATTCACCTCCAAATTTCCTCTAATTAGTTTTCGTGTGATGAAAAAGTTTTAACTGTTAAATCTCAGCAGCACAAACACAAACATGCACACACAGCACTTCGAACATAATACTTCTATGAGCTGGATTAGGCCGTGTAGTCGAGAAAGTTGAAAGCACCCAACAAAGAACCAATGAGCGCATAGGTATCTGTGTCAGTGGGGGAAAGTGTGTCGTAAACTTTCACCCCATTGTCAGGGCTAGGAGAGCGTGAGCCCTCAGTACAGTGTTATTTTTCCCAGTCTTTTACCTTTTTACAAGAAGAGTTTCATTAAGGACGGACTGTGGGAAAAGGGCTCGTCTTTGCTGAGCCCTAAAGACATTTGATTGGCTGCTGGGTTACTATAGTTGTAAGCGGGTACAACAGTGATTGGATAAGCGAGCAAGCCGCCAGGTTGATCACTCTGTGTTCATTCCTTGCGGTCATAAGGGTTTCAACTGCTTATTTCATTATGGAGAAACTTTTATTCACTTTGGGATAGAGTTGGAGTGGTGATTGGGGAGGGGGTAGGGGCTCAAGCCCGTGAGCCCTTCACTACCCACCGCCACTGGCTGGAGGGCGGTGTTGATGTGGAGAGAGATTATCAAACAGTCAACAAGTGGGTGCCGTGCACTGTGTGTAATGTGTACTACTGGTGGTATGGCTGGGCCTATTTACACTAATAATAGATCATAATAGATAGCATTTGTATGGCGCAAATCCCCGCTCAACAGCAAGCTGTATGCGCTTCACAATCTATTACCCCAGCACACCTGGGAGCATTCTGAAACAACCTCAACTTCCTGGGAAGCATACAGTGCAAGCAGCCATTTATAGACACTAAAACACTAATATACTGACAAGATCTTTTGCTGTCTATGGCCAGGTACCCATTTCCACCTGGGTGAAGTGAGGAAAATTCGTGTAAAGTGCCTTTCCCAAGGACACAACATCGGGCCCACGGCTCGAACCCCCGACCCCGCAACCTCACGATTACGAGTCTGGTAGCCTAACCACTAGGCCACCGACACCAACATTAGTTTAATAAGGACTGCACAAATCAGACAGTTGGTGCATGGTGGTGAAAAAGCGCAAATACCATGTTTAGATCGGCGTTTCTTTTGTACATTGACAAAACCTGATGGTAAGCAGGGGCTGTCGGTATAATAGATGGTTGTATAATGGGGTTTCACTTTGTATATATATATATATATATATATATATATATATATATATATATATATATATAACTTATGATATATTATGCGGAAAGATCTTATGAAGCCAGTTTTCTTTGTACGACAGCAAGTCCAAAGATCTCATTGAGCCGCTTGTTCTTCTTTCTTTCCCAGTTGAATGAGATTGACTTCCAGGACTCCATCATGACCCTTGGCTTTGACGATGACACGCGAACAACCCTGTTAGAGGTTTACCTGAGCCAACGCAAGGACATCAGAGACATTCTTAACGAGGTCAGCATGGATCTGCCGCATTATCATAACCTGGAGTGGAGATTTGATGTCCAGGTAGGTTATCTGCTTCTATCTTTGTCTCAGTCTTGTGTTGTATCTTTTAAAAAGAAAATTGTGTGAAGAGAAGCACAATGACTCAATTAGGTCACTTCGCATGTGCAAGGAGAAAGTAAGACAGATAGAAGACAGAAACAAATGATGGAAAGAAAAGAAGTAGGAAGGACCCTTCAGTAGTGCTTATTTTATCTGAAGAAGGAAAAAAGTAGCAAAGCAAAAACACAGGGGTTAGGGGTGGGAGTGTGATTGACTGGATAGTGGCAAGTGTCTCCAAATCATATTCTGACTGAATTCCGTAAAAAAGTGAAGGCGTACATTTTTGGGGGGATTTTGCTTTCATGTACTATTATTATTATCTTTTATTGATTTCTCCTTTTGAAAACTTACCTGAATTGTGACTCCGTGGTGTATTCTGTCTGTCTGATTGTTTTTGTATACATGTTTGTTTTTCACTGTTAGATTGGCAAATCAGTTGAAATGTTTTTGGGTTTATATTGCTGTATAATTTTTTTTGTGTCTAATGATTTTGAAAATATAGATTCCACTGAGAAAGGACGTAATATTGGCACATAACATTCCCGTTAAACTCAAAAATCGATAGAAAAATGACCCCTCATCCCTGTGGTCTTGTAGTGTTTTTTCATATCTTTGTCTGAATTTTTAAGAAATCGGAACGATTAAACAGCTGGTCAGAAGAAGTGGACTTAGTTTGAGCTCCTGCTGGATCAGAGAAGTTGTCACATCAGCACACTCTGTAGTCCTATGCCCATCGTTAGATGGGGTGATCTTGGTAACTCCCTGTGCCCTCGAAACAATATGAGTAAAGACAGGTGTACTTATTTCATCCCTCCACTTCTCAATCATTTCTTTTTTACAACCAGGCTCACGGCATATCGTTTCAAAACTGTGGCAGTATTTTTTTTGCTCCTGAATTTCTTCCCATAGCATTTCTGTGTGTTATTCCTCAGCTGTCTAGCCGTAGTCTTCGCCACCAGGTGTCTCCGTCCATACTGCTCCAGCTACAGACACAGGAAGACGGTGAGAAAAAGACACAGATGTTACAGACGGATCCTGTTAACCTGATCCATTTGACCAGTGTGTTAGAGGAGGCTTTGCAAGAGATGAAGTCTGGCTATTGTCGAAGAATTGTCCGAAACATTAAATAAAATCTTGTTGTATTAATAATATGAGTACAATGTATGTTGTATGTTTGGGATGAGTGATGGCATAATAAGCCAAGCTTTGCTTAATTGAAGATAATTATGTAAAATTAATAGTTATGTCAGCTGTCATTTTTAGAAATACAGTATGCAGTTTTTACAATTTTACAGGAAAGCCGAAAAACTGGATGTTGATACCAAGAAACCAACTCTTTGCAAACATCCCAAGCCAATATTTTAAGAATATAATTTTGATAATAGCTTTATGATTATCTGTAAAGCAAATACTGTTTTCTTGGTAGCAATGTTCAGTTTTTTTGGCTCTCCTGTAACATTGCGAAAACTGCATATATACTGTTGTATTGTTAAAAATGACGGCAGATGTCAATGAGTTCATTCTACATTGATTAAAATCGATGTAAAATGAGCTGGTTGGCTGTATAAACTATTATTGTCTCCTTACAGCAGCTGTGTGGTTACTTTACTGTGTGTCTCCTCCTGATGAAGAGCAGACATGTCGTTTATTTGTTTAGTTTATATCTTTGTGAAAGATGACTTGGGGGAGGGGGGGGAGGGAAGGGGGGACCACAGATTGAGTCTCCAACGTGGAATTGTTGAACAACATTTTGTTTTAGAAGTTTTTATAGTTACCCAGTTTTGTGATGATTGTATGTGTTGAGAGGTGATATGCTTGTACTATGCCTGTTGAGATGATGTGCTTGAGAATAATGAGAAGAGAAACAGAGATAGCTGTGAGAAATGTTGCAGTACTTAGGTAAAAATAAAAAGGAGTGTCTTGTGATTGAAAGGCCCATTCTGTTTTGTTCGAAAAAAAGTAAGTGAATGGCTTTATTGCCTCTATCAACACCATTAAATTATTTAAGATGAGGGACTTCTGAATTTAATGTCTGTCTCAGATAGGACCGAACCTTGAAAACTCCACAAAATGACAATAGTTCAGGGGTTTGAACCAGGGCCACCCGCACCATAGTCAAGCATGAAAGCTTTTAAGGACAAGCGGGCTAACCCAGATTTCTGTGGTTTCCAGAAATCTTGACCTACACCAAAAGTGGGCATTGCCCTATCTATAGGAGAAGTTTGGTTTTATTAGTGTGTATTTTGTTTAGTTATAGAGAAAACTCTCCTTTACTTTTAAAGAAACTGAACAAGGGGCAAAAACTTTACCTTCGATTTTCTCAAAACCGCATTTTCCAAGATAGCCCCCTTGTGCTTAAAAGCGACCATATATGATATATCGTCATGGTGTTTCCAGTATGGCCTTAGTCAGACCTAGGCCATTAAAGAAAAATTAAAATGTAACGTTTTGAAATTCCCCTCTTTGTGATGCTTCTTTTAGAATTTGAATTTTTCAAATGTGCTGGGCTGTTGTCCTTGATTTAGACATTTCCATTAAAAAAAATGAAAATAGTATTTTGTAAGCCAACAAATCAGGTTTCCTAGATCATCTCAAAAAGTGCAAAAAAATGAGTAAGTAATAGTAGTAATAGGCCTACTAATAGGCAGCACCATGATGAAATTTCCCTTGTCTTTGTTGAAATTGAATTGAATGGTTTTTGGAGTCCCGGTGCCAATCAGAGTATATATATTCAGCAAATAGAAATGGCGTGGAAAGTTTGATTAATTGTGTGTGTGAGTGCGTATGTGTGTGTGTGTGTTTGTGTGCATGTGTATGTTTGCAAGAGTGCAGGTGTTCAAGGAGAAAGGCTGAGGGAGAGACTCTTTCCATCTCAGTATGTCACTTATTACACAGAGTATGTATGATTATGTTCTGTAATTTTTTGCTTCAAGTCAGAGAATAGAATTCTATTGTTTTTCTTGTCAGGGAATTAAAACATTTCTTTAGCCCTGGTTACATGCAGTGATAAATTATATCGAATTCATCGTATGTGTATATATATATAGAAATGTCCATTTTATCAGACTACATATTCTGTTTAAGTATTCCGATCTATCGTCCTATTCTCTATGATCCTCTTTACACAGAAATACTGTCGTGTCTCTTTGCAAAAATGATGATGACGATTTGCTTTCACTCTGTTGCTGTTTGCTGTTCTATATGAAAGAAAGAAAAACCAGGCTTAATTTAGACAAAAAAACCCTGACTTTTAAAGTGGAAAACTTTATACCTCAGATCCTGCCCAATAGCTTTGAGGTTTCATGCTATTTTAGGGTTTTTAAAAAAAATGTTGTCCTGAGATTGTTTACTTTTTTTTATCACAAAAGTCTGTAGTTTCATCTTGATTAAACTGTTTGAAAAATGACTTACAGTTCTTTTTTAAATCCATGTTTTTTTAATGTAGGAGTTTCAATGCCTCAGTTGATACAATTTAGATAATTAGGGAGCGGTCTTCCAACTTTGCCTGTCAGGGCCATCCAGGGGGCTGAGAGGATTAGCTTACAACTACAACATCCATGCAGAAAGACCGAGACACTCGATGAAAATTCTTTCGACTTGGGAATTGAACTTGGGTCTCCTGCATGAGACAGCGGAGTGCATGCTATGCCACTGATGCTAGTCAAAAGTTAACATTTTTTATTTTTTTTATTTAGGTGATAACACCCCCCATTGACACAATTTAGATTATTTAGGAGGCGGGCTTCCAACCCTATCTGTCAGGACCAACCTGGGCTGATGAGGGGGAAACAACATCCCAGCGGAAAGACCGAGACAGCAGACAGAAATTCTCCCCACTTGGGAATCGAACTCGAATCTCCTGTGTGAAACAGCAAAGTGCGTAACCGCAACACCACAGAGGCTGGTTCACAGGGCTCTATTAGACGATGAATCAAAGAAAAGATGATCACACTGGTAACTTTTAACTGTGTGATTGATTGTCAAAATTCAGAGCCATTTCATCATGTTGCATAGTGTTCAAGCATTTTTGAGAGCTTTCAAAGAGGTATAAGTATTTAGAAGTTGAAAAAAAAATTAGCGTAAAATATTTTGTGCAGCTGAAGCAAATTGATTGAGGAGGTGATATCTTGACGAGTCATCATTTTCCCCACAATACAAATTTTGAACGCTGTGTTCCTCATTTTCTCAGATTAAGCCTATGCTACCTCTACTAAGGTAGCAATATAAAATGTCTTCTTCAATGTTGGATAAGAAGTTTCACCTTTCTTGTCCTGTCATCAGACCTATTCAGATTTTTTTTCTCTTCTGATGGTGGTTGGAGGGTGCAACTGGTACGTCCAATTTCCTTATCTATCTATCTATCTATCTATCTGTCTGTCTGTCTGTCTGCCTGTCTGTCTGTCTGTCTGTCTGTCTGTCTGTCTGTCTGTCTGTCTGTCTGTCC